AGAACATAACTTCAATTGAACATGCATGAGTTTAAACCAATTCATAGCTTCCAATACTTGCTCTAATGAGCCAATTCCTTCAAAACCAAGATGAGTTCATGGTCCAATGCAAAAATATGAACATGCATGTACCAAATTCTATGTATTCAACCTCAAAATGCTAGGATATAAGCATGCATGCATGATTTATGCTACAATTCAACACATTAAGCCTATTCTAGACTCAAATCACTAGAGGCTCAAGAAGCATGCAAGAATCAACTCAAATACACAAATGAGAGGGTGAAACACCAACCTCAAATCTTTAAACTCAAGAATATAAGCTTAATTTTGCAATCCTCTCTTCAATTCTTCCATTTTCAAACAAGCCACCAATTTGAATTCAATTCTCTCACTCTTTCTCTCTCGGTCGGTTGTCCCTCTCAAAAAGGCTGAAGAAGATGTTTTGTCTAAGTGTGATAAGGCTCCAACCAAGGTTTTGATAGTGGCCCACTATAATGGCAAGGTTGCAAATAGTGCAACTTATGAGATTAAGCTCATTTTAATCTAATTAAATCATACCAAATCACATTTCAGATAAATACACCATAAATTTGCATAAATTCTATTGATCATAAAACATTAATCGATTTCGGGTTCGGCCGCCGATAAGGCTTTCAATTTGCAATTTAACCATAAAAACATGAACAGATAATCGGACAGTCAAACAGATAGATAGTGCATTTAAACGGATACAGTCAATCAATCAGTTTCAGATTTCAGTCGGTCAGTTTAGTATTTCAATCAGTTCAACTACTTTTCATAATCAGTCTCAGTTTAGCAGTAATCGGTAGTTTAACAGTAAACAGTGGTGAGGGTTGTTACACCACCCGTGCCATGGCACGAGAGGGAGAGGAAAAGAGAAAAGGATGGCCGTAGCCAAAGTCACATATGATCGGCAGCCACAACAACAAAGAACGCTTCAACACACTCTAAACATACTGCAACATGAAGGAAGAAAAGAGAGTGTTAAATACCAAACTCACAAGGGCGATATTTACTAAGGGTGGTGTTAACTGCTAACCCTATAGGGGACGATATTAACTAAGGGTGGTGTTAACCACCAACCCCGTAAGGTGTAATATTAATCAAGGGTTCACGCCTTACTCACTTCGCATGTGTGGGGAGTAATTGAAACAAAAAAAAGCATTATGTTGCTGAGGCAATTGTAGGAAAAACACAACAAAAACAGGGACTGACCTTTCTTTCTATGAGTTCTGCTGAAAAATCCCACCTTAGAGCTCGATAAGGATGACAACCATACACCACTGGATACTTCTGAATACTTTTCTTTCAATATGTTACTGATGCTTACTTGGCCAACTGAAAAATTGATCGGCTAGAAATAGGAATGGCCGACCGGCCCTATCGGGTTTTTATACCGTCAGAACAGTCATTTCACATCTTTGAAAGTTTATAAAAAGGCGCGACTATCTAACTTCCTTTTACTTCTACCTTAGAGCTCGATCGGCCCTATCGGGTTTTTATGCTATGGGCCTTAGCCATCCTCAGCTATTCAAGTAAGAATAATGTAATTTCAAGGACGAAATTATTTTTAGGAGGATGGGTTGTCATTGAAGAGTTATTCTAATTTAATGCATAAGATATGGAAGTTTGGAACACATTAAATTAATCACTATTTAGAGGCATTGATTAAACTAAGTCCTTATTAACACTAATCCTCACAATTAGATTAAGGAAGTTTCTAAAGGCAATCTAGAATTTTGTCCTCACTTGATTGTCTTATTCATGAGTGTGTTAAAAAAAAAAATTTGGAAGAGGGGGGCCGGCCAAGTCAACTCTCATGGGAAAGGGTTGATTTTGTCTTATATGAAGATTTACCTTAAAAGTGCAGCCCTGTTAGCATGCTTAACCAGGCTTTTTCTTACCTTTGAGTGAAGAGATTGGTTGCCATAAGTGTGCTTGTTGGGTAGACAACCCTCCAATGGCCAGACATGCATGGATTCTTTTACCAAGTAGTTTCTCCAAACTCTCCCTTTCATTTTAGTCTATATATGAAACACAAGCTCCCCTAACTCCCCACTTACAATTTTCAGCTGGAGCTAGAGAGTTGAGAAAGAGAGAAAGAAAAGTGAGAAAGGAGAGAAAAAGAAGAAGAAGAATGAAGGAAGGAAGGAGAAGAAGGACTCATCACTTGAAAGGTCTTCAAAGCTTCACTAAGGTAGGATACTTAGAAATACTCCATTTCTTTAGGTTTTGGAAGATGTATGCAAAACAATCTGATATGTCTTATAATACATAAAGGAAACAAGAACAAACTCAATAGGAGAGGTCCCTCTTGCATGCCTTAGATGAACTCACTTGTCTTATCTCTTGTCATTATTTTTATATTCTATTTGCTCTATTGTCATAACTTGTAGTACCTCTTGAATGCAAGAAAAATACCTCTTCATAAATAATGTAGCCTAGCATGCCTAAGTAGGGAACTAAAGAAGACAACCTATTGCTCATTCGAACAGAAACTGCACTGTGCAAAATCTGTTTTTACTTCAAAACCATGAAATAAATCACTTATTTATTATTTTGAAAATATGAAGCTACTGGAATTATTTTAGGGTCTTACTTATATGTGAGAATTCTGCAAAAATTATTTGACACTATTTTATAGCCAAAAATATGCTTCATGTTCATCTCTACTGTTAAGACAACAGCAAGGCCTACTTTACATGGCCACGGTTTCTTCCACATAATGAAATTTTGAGTGATTAAATTGGCGATGTAAGGTTTTTAAGTTATATTTCCAATGCCACAGGTTTCAACTCATTTCATTAAGTATGTGGTGAGATATGTCTACTTTTTCAAAAATGCGACGAATCTGGAGTTACCTACTATTTTTAATTTATTTGGACATCTTCCAGTGGCCAAATGATTTCGAGCCCTTTTCCAAAAATGTTCCCAACTTAATAATCTATAACTCCACAAAAAATTTGAAATATCATTTCTATATTTTTATTTGAGGGGACAGTTTGCTAGAAACCGTTCAAAATCTAGAATCAAGTTAATGATGGTTTAAAACCTTTTTGTATTGCCTCATTTTTACATATTTTGTCTTGCATGCACTTAAATATGCTTGATTAGTTAGAATGAATCATGATATATGTATTTTCATCAAGAGCTATCATAACCATAATATGGGGAAAATGAAATGTGTGGTTTTGGACCATGCGCATGCGGATGAATACAAAAAAAAGGTATATCGGTGTTTTGTTAGTGCAGGGTGCACCTTGGTTCTAAGTAAATGTGATTATTTAGCTTGCAAAGCCTTGACATGGCCCGGATCATATTTTGACCTCACGGATTTGGTTTTGGGATAAGGGTGGCAATGAGGGTCTCACATAGATGGAGTATCTTTGGAAGGCCGGTTCTCTTGAGATGAACCACTGATGATACGCTCTGAGTATTTAACTTAGCACATAGCATCTTTAGATCCAGTGCCTTGCGATCAAAAGGAGGTGCAAAATAGCCCCTAGCCAAGGTCAATGGTTGGGTATGACAACACTCTATAGGGAGTCACCGTAGGCTCACCAAATTTATAATTAAATGAAATTACATTATGAACTCTATGATAACCTGACATTTGCATTGTGAATATATTCGTGATGGATCATGTCTATATATATATATGTTTTCGCTGCACTATGATCTTTTTCGCGATGATTATATATTTTTCAATGTCGTTAATTAACTCAACTGTGTTATTATTGCATAAGTTTTCAAACTGTAAGAAGTGGCTAGTTTTTTTTTTTTTGAGTTTCTTGTATCTTATTGGGCTTTGTAGCTCACGGCGTTTAATGCTAGGTGAAGAAGAAAGAGAAAATCTCGGGGAACATTTTGTCGAAGATGCCAAAGTTCAGCCATGGTTCACTTAGAACCGTCTTAGCCTAGCCATTAAGGCTTGTCTTACCCATCTTCTTATCTATTTTGATGAAATTTTATGTATTAACGTAACAATGTCCGGAGATTGGTATAAGAAATCAAACATTTGGAGTTGTATTAAGATTAAGCTTTGAAACGTACTCTTTTAACTGTTATATCGGAACTTAATACTTAATCATGTTAAATTATTTATATTAGATGTCACATGTTTTAATACATAACTCGTCCCGTGAATTAGAGAGTTTGTGAAAAAATTGATCTAACTAGGATTAATTTGTTGGTGGATCAATAAAATAATAATATTTTTTAAAAGTTTGAACATAGTCTTCAAAAAGACAAATGCTACATAATTCTAATTTAGTCAAAATATAATTTGCATTTGCTTGCAAATTAGTATCTTTAGCAAAATCACATAAAATTTCTCTTATGATTTTTGCAAACTTAGCTAATATTGTGTCAAGTATGAGAAAATTTGCCAACATAGTTGTTTTCTGATTTTTTTCAATTTCATATTTTTCCCACTATCTTAACAATTGCAACACATCTCCCTGGAGGGTTACTGTAATATAATTAAGGAATTTTTTCCTTTTACCAATTATTTTTATAATTGGTAATAATGATGGACAATGATTGTGCCTAATTATCAATTGCTTGTGGTTGGTCTTTAAATGAGACACGAGACAAGTCTAAATAAATACAATTTTGAATTATTAAATACTTATGATTATTATATTTTCAAATATTATTAGCTCATGTGTATGATTTGAGGTACTTCTAGTGTTAGTATCAATTTTAATTTTATTTGTTTGAATAAAATCAAAATTTTCTCCATCTTTCTTTATGTCAAACAATTTGAGATCAATCAGTTCTTCTGTCTTTCTTTTTCTTTTATTTATTTATGATGAAACATCTTAGCCTATTATTTTCTTAGATGAGAATGATTGACTAATTGATATATTATTATAATTAAAATACTGATCCAAAATTGGGCATTTTCGTCAATTACTCGTACGTTATCCGGTAGTGTTCCTCCCACTTCCCCTGCGCTTCGCAAGTGCTATTTTCTCTCTTCAAAATCAACTCTACGCAAGAGGGGACATTCTCATTCTCATTCTCATTCTCATTCTCAGACGAGCTCAAGCTCAAGATAATAAAATAAAAAAATGGCAATTTCAATGTCTACCCTCACATCTTCATTCGCTTCTCTCTCTTTCTCTTCACAGATTTCCCAAAACCCCCACTCCCTCTCATTTCCCCGATCGAAGCCGCCTCGCGTGGTGGTCGCAACCCCAAGGCTCGCCGTCGTCGCCTCCGCCGTCGCCGCCCCCTCCGCCGTCGATTTAGAAACAACGAATCTGAAGAAGTACGTGAAATCGAGGCTTCCTGGTGGCTTCGCCGCCCAGACCATCTTCGGCACCGGCCGCAGAAAATGCGCCATCGCTCGCGTCGTTCTCCAGGAAGGAACTGGCAAACTCATCATCAATTACCGCGACGCCAAGGTACCTCTCACTCTACCGCTCGTTTTTTAGCAAAAAAGTTAAAAAAATCACCAAAAACTTGTCACTAAACTCTATTTTTTTAGGCATCTTTTTGTAGAAGGCAAAAAAAAAAAAGAAAACCAAATTCAGTAGACATTATATTTGTTTCTAATGTGTATGCATATGTATTGTTTGCTTTAAGAAGCATTCAAGTTGTTCTTGGTGAAATGAAAATGTAGCATTGTAGGAACTGAATCTTTCTATACAAGGTAAATTACAATGACCTTCCCTCACTCTCGTGTTTGCCCTTTATACATTCTATAAATGAATCTCAGCTTCAACACAATTTCAAAATGTAAACATCCCTCCATCTAAGTATATATTATGAAAACATACTAAGCTTATAGGTGCAGAAACTAACAAAGGAAACTTCATAAACTAAATACTTCTTGAGAGGTTATACACCTATAAACTTCATAAACCAAAAACAATAAGGGTTGGTTTGGGATGTTCTAAAAAAGTACACTTTTTGACTTATTGGCTTATATGAGTTGGGTTTGGGTTGGGTTTGATGTGATGTGTTAGAGAGTTGATGTGATTTAAATAAGATGATGTGACTTAAATAGGATAGTGACTTTTTGTATTATTTAGTGTATCCCAAACCAAGCCTTAAATATTTCATAAACTAGCAGTCAAAATAAAGTTCCACATTATGAATGATTATTTTTAATATGCAAGAAATAACATTTGCATCCCACAACTACACAAACAATGTCGGCCTGTGAGAGGTATACACCTATATCTATATTGCTTACACCACAAAACAAAAGGCAAGAGCAATACACTTATGAACTTGTATAAAAAACAAACAGCTGTACACATTTCAGCTGTACAAAAAAACCTCACATCACTTGGGCCACTTCAAAAACTCAAAATCATATGAGGTCATGCCAATCACAAATGACTCCAACTTGAACTAGCCATCTGCAATAACAGTTAAGGCAACTATTGTGAAAACTTGTAAACAAATATGAAAGCTTAATCAAATCATAAATTACACTAACCTCAGATTATTTTTAGTAGTGCCCCTTCCATTGCCCTTGCTCTTGCTCCTTTCTGTGCCAGCATCAGCCTGTATGAAGGTTAAAAAAAAAAACTTAAAACCCATTGTATTGCATTTTTTTTTCAATTTGCAGTTGCGTAGGGTTTTAGATCCTTACCCTAACTGATCCACTATCATTTTGAGTAAAACTTGAAGGGGTTGAGTCATGTGTGATACATTGAGAGGCAATATGCTCTTCTGGTTGTTGACATTTAAAAAGGGAAGTTGGTTAAAATAGATAAAATCGAAAGTTGGTTAATATAGATCAAATCAAAAGTGAATCATGAAAATTAGATCACAAGGTAAATTACATCCTAGCCTAGGTGCTGCAGCCCTTTTCACTGGAGCTCTTTGACAAGATCTCTTGTTTTGTCCAAATTCTTTGCACACTGAACACTTGAGAGTTTGGGACCTCCAAGACTGACTTGTCGCTGTGGCTGCCTCGTCAACTCTACCTTTTCTAGTTTTCGTTGGTCTGCCTGCCGGGTAATAATCGACGAAGTGGTGGTGGATCCAACGGGTTACCACTAGCAGCCTCCCACAATATTTGCTCTAAAGTAGGATGAATAATGCCCCCATAGGCCCTCAAATAGGCATCCTCCTTCAAATTAGGGTGACAATACTCTTCAATATTATCTCTTCTATGAGTAATGGCAGAAGCTGCATGCCTACAAGGGATACCTGATATCTGCCACTCCGCACAAGTGCACCTCTTACTGTCCAACTGAACTAGAAATGACATTTTACCTTCCTCCAAAATTCATATTCATCAGCCACCGCAAACAACAAAGTACACTTTCTAGAATCCATTTGTGCTGTGTTTGGCCTTTTCTTCACATATGGTCCAACCAAACCAGTCCACACACATCCCATCCCATACCTTTTTTCAATCTTAGTCATCAACTTAGCTCTAATCCCTTCTAACAGAGATAAAATAGGCTTATACCTTAGATGGCCAACCCCAATGGTTGAGTGACTCAGCTAAGTTGTTTGTGATGTGATCATTCTTCACTCTTACATCAAAAGCATGCCTAGGCCAAGTAGTAGGAGGGAGATCTAACAGCCATTGATGAGCAACAGTTGAGACACTCTTCAATCTCTCCATAGCTTAATTGAATTCAACCTGGTTGTACATGCCCTGGCAGCTTGCCAAAAATATTTTTTCAATAATAACCCAGGAAATCTCCCTTTGAAATTGCTGAACAAATGTTAACAACATTGAAGTTGAGAAGCCTTATGCTATAGCAGCCAATAAAACACCACCAAATGGCCCTTTCAAGTAGCAGCCATCCATCCCAATGAAGGGCCTACAACCTGAAATGAAGCCTGTTTTCCTGGCTTCAAATGCCACGAAAATTCTTTTGAACATAGGGTTGCATTTCTTAGGATTCTTCATCACCTCAGTAGAATTCCTAGGCTCTCTTTCAATTATGACAACACTCCTAGGATTACTCCTCATTACCTCAGCAGCATAGGCTAGAAGCTGTGAGTAAGACCTGCTATGGTTCCCTTCAATCTCTTCCATTGCCTTCCTTTTTGCTCTATAAAGCTGAATTCTTGAAGCTTTGATGCAGATCACTCACTTCCAAAAAAATATCAACCAAACAAGCCTTAGCATATAAAGTAAACATTTGTATGACATCCAGATCAGAATGCAACCATCAATTCAGTAGTCCCAGGCACATTACAGTATAATGTTATGACTACTCCCCTATCAGATGGTAAATGAGACAATGCCTTTTGAGTTACATCATCCGGTAGGTCAATATAGGAGTACCTATCTGGATTGATATTCTTAATCCTACTCAACTCCCCAGAAAAATGGTCATTTATATCAAAATACATTGCTGAAGCCATAGCTGAAACAATTACAAGTTAAACTTTAACAAGAAACATAATAAATGTGTTTGATTTCAGTTTTCTGGAAATTGAGTTTTTTGTTTTTTGTTTTTTATTTTTTATTTTTAGTGAATATTTTTAAAATTTTAAGCAATTTTTTTTACTTTTTTAGATGCACCTTACTTAGATGTATCTAAATAGTAAAATATTCGTGAAAAAATATTTTTAAAAATTAATAAATACAAAAAAATATAAAAAATGTACTGAATTTTTATATTTTTGATATTTACTGAATTTTTTAAAGATTTTTTTACAAATATTATACTTTTAAAGTGTATTGATATTAGGTATGTCTAAAAATAAAAAAATTGCTTTGAAAAAATACAAAAAAATAATACAATATAAGCTACACCAATTAAAAATACAAAAAAATAAGCTACACCAAATAGAATTTTGAAAAAAAGTAAAACGGAGTGAATTTTGAAGATTGAAACCAAACGGAGTGATTCGTACACAAATAAGCTACACCAACTAAAAATAATACAATATAAATCATAGATCAAATCAAACACTTACAAAACCCAATTTGGTTAAAGTTTTTAGAATCTAGTTTTGAAAAAGTTCAAAAAATTGCAAATTAGTTTGACAAAACTAAACACCAAAATATTTAATTTTGACTTTTCTACATTTCTTTTCGCTCCAAAAAAAGAAAAAATCATATGAAAATAATAGAGTTAATTTTCTTTCCATTAAACTAGTTTGAAGGGGTAGGATATAAACGGATCAGATCCAAGCCTTGGACCGGTCCAATCCACTAAGCCCAAATCCAAGAGGGCCAGACAAGTACATAGGTCAGTCCATTGAGCCCACCTCCATAAAGAATGATCTTCTCGAGTCCTTAAGCACTTAGGCCCAACACGCAGTGGAAAGGCCAGCCCAAGCCGCAATGCTGGACTGGGCCAAGCTATTGGATCTAATTCATAAGACCAAATTGATGAGCCAAACTCATCATTAGAATCGCAGTGGGCCGAGCCCACACAGAGAGATCCAAATGGGCCAGCCCCATCTCTACAAACTATCTTATAGAAGGTCGAGTTGGGGGCACATCAATATCGAGCTGAGTGAACCTCACAGAGAAACGTGGAAGTTATGAACATATATATGTGCAAATTGCCACCTCAGCTAGTCCCTCCTTTCTAGAATCACGAAAACAGTTAGATAGAGGAAATATGATCTGTTATATTCATGGTTACAATGAGCAAATGTCTCTATGGTCGATTACGTTGTGGTCCTCCACCTTGAGCAATGTTAAGGGAAGCCTTAAGGCACCAATGCTCAATGAAACCATCTTGGGCAACAAGTAAAGTCTTCTATATAAGTCTCGTCTCTTCACATTAAAGGTAACAACTAAACCCCACACATATGAGCCTACTCCATCTGAGATCATTCGAACTCCATTACTTTTTCTCTCTTGCTATCTTCACCTAGAGAGAGTCCTTCATCTTCTCCGATCACTCATTCCCACGCTAGAGGGGTTTTCTGGCCAACATCGGTCGGGCAGCTCTGATGGTGCTCTGTTTTGCAAATCCCCAATTCCTAAATAGTCCATTTCAATTGTGAAGCTCCGATCCACTTTCATCTAGTGCGAGATTTGGTACGCACAATTGGTGCGTTGAGTGTGGACATTCGTTTCTGAGTTCTACATTTGATTTCGGCAATGGGAACTGAGGACATTCCTCCATCTGCATCGGCTCCGCCATGGAGAAAACGAAGGATAAGGGCCTGGCATTACCGACAATTTTGGAGGAACAAATCGGAAACAACTGAACTCCAGATTTTGTTGAGCACCGTCGACTTTTTGCTGGTGGTTCCTCCTACCATTTCATGATGGAGAAGGATTATAGGGATCTTATTATCGATTCCATGGGAATGGATATACAAGAACTAAAAGCATGGCTCAAGAAGATGTTAGGTGACCTGATAGAGAAGAGGATCGATGTAGAACCTTTTCGTCTGCGCCGAAGGAGTCCATTTCTGGAACCACCGGCGAAGGATGGCCTTGGAAATGGTTCTGGGCAGCAAAGTCAGCCAATTCCGGTACACAGTGAAGCAGCAAGCAGCCACA